TGTCCAAATACAGGTGGAGCTGCCGCTCACTCCAGTGGCTCCCTGAACATCACACCCTCTGGGCCTACTGTATCCCTGCCTGTAGCTGCTGAGGCAACTAAAGCTGTGCACGCTTTCACCATCTATTGTATGTGTGTTTTTTAATGAATAAGAGGTTACAGAACACATTTATTTGTTAAACACAGTAGCAATATCTGTCCAAGCACTGTCCTCCAAAAGCATGTATATTTAAGTTTTCATGTTCCCTCTCAGGTCACAGTGCTGTAACCACATGTGTAAATATTGTGAGCAGGGCCAGTGTGAGACAGCTGAGGTGAATTAACACAAAGTAGTCTGTGTGTTGGAAAAACTAAATTCATAAATCATTTAGGTCAAATTTTTCAAATCATGTTCCTGAAATAAACTTTCCCCTCCTCTCCTAGCTCCCTATGTACTGTCACCAAGCTGTGTCTGGTTACCCTAAAAAAGATCACAGATCAAATTATTACTTTACAGTTGACTCTTTTTTTTGCTGGTCTCTACAGACAACTCTCAATTTTAGATTTATTTTCTGCTGTTCTTCTCTTACCCTGGGATTACTTGCTTTAGATAGATCTTGGCTTCATTACATTTTTCCTTAAGACATTTAGGTTTCACAGATCAGAATTCATTAGCCTAGCTCAATAGCTCAGCAAAAAAACAGGTCTGATAGATGCACGAATCTGAGGCTTGAAAGAAGGCCTGAAGTGCTTGGGTTATGGCTAAAAAGACCAACTCATTCTTATTTACAGGTCATCCATACTGCATAGACTACTATTACACAACCCTGAAGATGGGTTTGTAAATGTATTTATTCTTGGTTTTAAGATTTTATATCAGCATGACAATTATAATCTGTTCTGTTAGCTAGAGTAAGCATAACACAGAATAATAAAAATAAAAGGTAATAACAATGAGATACAGAATAAATTATTTTTAAATGGGAAATAAAACAGAAATGAATATTGACATTACAAATTAATTATAGGATTTGCTATGGACAAATAAATTATGTGTAGAAAATATATAAGAGAGAAATGAAATGTGACGTGGGGGCTGAATGCACAATAAAAAGCCCATTCTGATGATATGTGATATATATATGTATGTATATATATTATAAATATGTGACAAGTGCAGGGATTACATAAGGGAATAAAAGTCCAGTTTGATGACCCCTTCTCTTAGCAAAAGTGATTTTATAAGTAAATATCCTCAGCCAGATATTGTTAGAAATACAAATTAAATGAGCACCATCATATTTTACAATCACAGGCTGTAAAACACCCTTTCTCAACAGAAATAGTGGCCTTTGGATTCATTTCACGGCCGACTGGCAGAAATTTGAAATGGAATCAAGCCATCTTACGGCAGACGGCCCAAACAGAAATGGAACGCGCCCAGTCCACTACGTGGACCGAGAGAGGGAGGGGGAGCGAGAGGGGGGAGAGAGAGATACGTTAATCAATTGAAGCTTTGGCGTTTTGTGCACATGAGCTTATTAACTTATTAAATCACCATAAAACAATCAAATTCGGAGCAAAGCAAAGCTAGTGAAGGTTAAAGTTACGTTAGCAGCGATGCTAACGCGCAGCTGCACCTGCAAGCAGACGTGAGCAGCGTGAGGACCGGACAGGATGATGGACAGAACTTTAAATCAGGGAGAGATACTGGTGGAGGAGAAGTTAATAGATGATTTAAAAGTGCTTTATTTAAATGGACACGGAGCTGCCAGAACAAGAAGCAGGGGAGAGGATGCTGAGGCTATATAGATGTTTAATTAACAGAAAGGTAAGCATGTGTTTTTATTAACGTTATTCCGTAGTGTTGGATGTTGATTAATTATCTTGAGAGAGTGATGAGCAAGTGGGCGTTTGTGCTGTGAAATTATAAGAGTTGACTAACTTAATGCAAACTTATGTAAGTCCCATGTTGTGGGCATGATGCCTGAATGTAATATTTGGCTTATTGCTGTAAATACAGTGGTGGAAGAAGTACTCGATTTTCCTACTTAAGTAAAAATGCAGATACCACATAAAAAAGTTACTCAAGTAAAAGTAAAAAGTACCTGGTTTTAAAATATACTTAAGTAATCAAAAGTACTACACATCAAAATCTATACACAGTATTTATTTTTAAATTCACTCCAGACAGCATTATAAGTTACAGTGAATCACAATAAGGAAGAGTACAAGTGGATATTTCCTATACTGTGGGAGGATTAGCCTGTGTTCTGCTCTTGTAGTAGTTTCCCCCTTCAGACCGACCTCATTTTGGACTTTGGGCATGTGCACGGGTTGTGTTGGACAAGGAGGTCAAAACTAACTGAAACACTTCTCAATTCACAATCTCATCAAAAATCCACATGTTAACGTCTGCACCTCTGATAAAGTGCAACTCACAGTCCCACACAGAGCGAGGTTGGCTTCAGTTTTCACATGTTTATATTGCAAAGCTCTAGCAGCTACGTTAGCACTCGGCCACAGACAAAAACAGAGCTGCTGCACAGTCACACCTGACACAACAATGCTCTCACTACAGTCCTCCCTCTTTAATTAGCCTGAATAGAAACCTCTTCTAGAAAAGTCCAGAGCTGCTTTGAACAGACCTCTGCGCACTAACTCAGTCCTCATGAAGTCTGTTAAGACCGGGGGCCAGTCTGCCGGGTCATTTGGTGAAGCAGCAACTGTTCCGTTAGGGTCTGATGCTGGCTGTTCATCTCTGGCTGCGCTGGTAATGTCTGAGGCTGCCTGTGTTTCACCTGGGTCTGTGGGACCCGCTAAAGACGTCCGGACCGGGTCTGTGCTCGCACTGACTGAGGCCGATGTGGATCAGCTGGGCTGACTGGCTGGAGTCTGTTCTTGTACTGGCTGATGATCCCAAATTTACTCCACTGACAAACTTAAGCAAAGCCCTTGTCAATGTAATGCAAATCCACTGCTTCCCATCTTGCATTAGTCCAGAGTTGGAAATAAACTTCACTGTCTTGTTTTAAAATGATGTATGAGGAGTGCCCTCACATCCTGTCTGGACTGGTTCACAGATGTTTATTGCTGGAATGCGTGAATAAAATTTTTTAGGCCGTGAATATGAACGCATTTCCACGTGCAATGCGGTCATCTTTTCCGAGCTGCAGTTTATAAACACTGTGGCCCGTCTGCGTCTATCAAACATAATAAATAGTTGTATTTTTACTCAACATTGTTCTGTCACAGTCTGGCAAGAAACCAAGACACGACAGACAAGAGCTGCGCTTCTCAGCTGGTTAGCAGGACAGACAGACAGAAATTCACAGCAGCTACACATTAACTGAACATTAGGCTACTGTTACTGTTACCTGCTGACATCAGACTCTGAGAGGAGCGAACACAAGTTTACCTGCCTGCTGTTCCTGCACTTCACTCTCACTGAGCTTCTTTCTCTTCTCGTGCCTAGAAGGATAGTCCCTCTTCATCCTCTCATTTGACACGACAGTGAGGCGGGGCCGTCCACCTCTGCGCAAGACTGACTTTATTACTATCCCTGTGTAAGCCGGTGTCGCATCTGCTGGGTTAATTCGCGCAGAGTCAGCTTTATTAGTTCACATTTGTTTTTCAGTGCTGCAACCGGGGTGAGATCAGTGCTATCCACTGGCCCACCGTGCCGCCCAACAATGCACCAATATATGCACATATTGTTTATTGTGTCACTGTTGTTTAGTTTCAGCACATGTATTACCTGTGTGCCAGGTACTGTCTATAACCTACTGGGTTCAGTAGCTGACAGATGTTGTGCAAAGTTAACGTTAGTTACCACTGAAAGGAAGTATTTCCTGCCTGCGGGAGTGTAAGCATTCAGTGGTGACAGCGGAGCTTCGAGTTCACCAAAGTAGATGAAAATATAACGTGGATTGTTTAATCTATCCTTTCAGTATTGTTGTTTTATCAACAAGGTTTTGCAAAGCAAGCTAACATATGGCTTCTGCCTTCTGTAGGCTAACATTATGTGTTATTGAATCAAGAATGTATAAACAAGAAACCACATTTTTTCTCTCAGTAAAGCAAACATTTAGGTAGGTAGGTAGGTTTTATTTTCACAATATAACAAGTTGTAGAGTGAAATTGAGTTTTATAACTCCCTTCTGCTACATAGCAGACAGGAAACAATTAATTATATAAAATTAACAGAAATAAACTATCATCACTGGAGCAGTGCTGAGGATGAACTAGAGTTTAAGAGTCTGATAGTTTGGGGGGGAAAGCTGCTCTGCAATCTGGTGGTGCAGCAGCAGAAACTTCTATATCTCTTCCCAGAAGGCAGCAGGGTGAACAGGCTG